CACTCTCAGATGCCGCCTTTGAAGTTTTGCAGCACGCGTACCATGTTTTAGGAGGAAACACAGAACACAGCCATATGATTTGTGAGGTTACGTAATTGTTTTTATTTATGTTTAAGTATATTATATTTATGTTATTATATTTAACAATGTTAATATAATTGTATAGTATGTCCATGATTGCCGTAAGTCAATTAAACCGGGTTAAGTTTTCTATGCACACCACATAAACAACACTGGTTCCCTCTAAAACATGGCGGAACGTCTGCGCGAAGGAGATGAGCGTACTTAATTTTCCATGGAGATTGGGCATTCTGATTGTTTATTATTCTGTGCTTCAGGCAACATATAACCATGCCTCACGTGAGTACCAGCGTCCGGAGGGTAGACCTCTTCAAACGGACTTCAGCTGGTAACTAGCTGAACAGTCATAATAAAATACAAAGTTGATGTTATTGTCAAAGCCGTTACCTTTACTCAAAATCGTGCCGAAAGTGAAAAAAAAAAAATAGTCCCGAAAGTAGCTACTTTTGGTACGATTTGTGTAAAATGGTACTTTCGATTTAATAAATCATACCGAAAGTTTTATTTTCGGGACGGCTGCAGAAAAAAAAATTATATTTAAGTATGAAAATAGATAACACGAAACTAATTTAAAAAACTACAAACGCCAAAACAACTGTCAAAACAAAACTTCTAATTTCCAGTACTGAATCAATCACCAACCATCTTCATATGGCCGTCTGTGTTCGATGTATGCTGTTGTGTATGAACATGTTGCTTAGATTCATCGTTTTAGTTTCTGGGAGTCGGTTGACGATGACTTGGTCTTTTACATTATTTGGTTAGGTGAGTGTGGTTCTTACTTGACCTAAGCATTCTTTGAATTTGGTAAGAGTATGATCCCAAGTAGTCTGCCACACTCTGTAGATGCCGCATTTGATGTTTACTTTGTAATAAGTCCAAGGTATTTGATTTAGGATAGTAATATTTTGGTCGGTCGGTCAGATAGCTCAGCGGGCTGTGCGGCTGCCTCTCATTCGCTTCACTGTCGAATGGTTCAGTGGATGTGGGATCGAGCCCCAGCTCTTTGTACAGAAAACAAAAAGTCTAACGCAGCAGTTTAAATCGGCCTATGGTGGAGCAGTACGGCAAGAGATAAGGGCTTGCGGTTCGGTGATACTCCTCCATAGATCCCTACCGGACGGGCGTAACGCCTAAAAAAGCGGATTTATATATATATATATATATATAATATATATATATATATATATATATTTTGGTCGGCTATTGAATTATTTACCAGAGAGTCCACTTTTTGAGAAGTATAGCGTGAGATGTATGTCGCTGTTTTATTCCAAGTAGGTAATGCTCATAACAAATTTGCCTGCATCGATAAAACCACATTTTCATGCCCTGGTGAATTGCCGTGAGGTCTACGGTATATAAGCAACAAATTGTTAGGATTTATATACGGTGGACTTGATGTTTCGCATAATAAAGGTTGCAGCATGTCCATCACATTTGGACGTATCTATGTAGATACGACTGAACTGTTTTAATTTAAGATCAATACATTTTATTCGCTCAGCAAATTTTCTTTCAATGTTTCTGTAAAAATCGGAAAATACATTTGTACTGCAAAAAAATGTTGAGTAAACTACGTTTTTTTTGTTTGCTGACATTATAGCTACGTAGTTTAGCGACAGGAGTTGCCTTCGTTGGCTTATTCAAAGTTCACCAGCCAGAACTTGTAGGTTACTTATTGAGTTAGTTCATGTCAAACTCGTGTTTTGAGACCAGTTTTCAATTATGTGTAAGGAAGTTTTTTAGATAAATGACCAGATTATCTGTATATAGGCTAGTAAATAGAGAAAGCTTTATTTTACTTACAGTACTATTTATTGCAATAAAAAAGGTTGTACTGAAAGTAGATCCTTGTGGACTGTCATTGAGAAGTACTCGTCTGGAAAATGTAAATCTAATGGTTTTGAACTTAAAAAGTTCGTGTCGTTAAAAAATGTTTAATAAAGTATAACACATATGCCATTAAGCATTCTACTCTTAAAGTGTTTTTAATATAAGATGTCTTCAAGTTATGTCATAAGCTTTTCTTATGTCAAAAGAATGGCAATAAGTTTTTGATTGTACAAAAAAGATTAATGTATCTAATCAAGCTAATTAGCTATGAAATCAGACCACACCTAAATACCGATTCTGATCGTCGTACTTTGCAAGTTCATTGAATTTAATCAAAATGCGCCGCTTTTCATAGTGTTTCATAATGTCACAAACACGGCCTGGTTTTCTTCTTTTTTTAGCAGCAGTCCCCACATCTATATCACTACAATCGCTACCACTACTTTCCATTTTAATCAGTACTTTACTATTGTTTAAATAGAATCAACTGACAATCTAGAACACACCAACGAAGTCACTAAACTAAGAAAGAGAATCACAGAAATGCTGCACCCGCCCGACCGGTTGAGACAAAGAGTCTCACCCGCCTTCGGACCCTGACGGTTATTCTGTATATACTATATTATTTATCTATGGTTATTCCCTCGTAGCGTGCGGACTATGATGGTTCTCCCAAGTACAACGTTTCATTTGTAATAAAAGGACTGTAAATATTTTTCCTTTTGACTCCATATCATCCGAAAGGATATGTATTCATCACTAGAAAACTTCACATCACAATTTCGACCAAAAGTGGACTATGACTGTTTTTCCTTTTGATTCCTCATATACGAAAGAAGCTAGCGAAAGACTGTATAAAGAGTGATCTATATCAGACAATGTATCATTGCATGCATTAAACCTAGTGGACTTTCACGTGCTTAGTAAAGCTAAATCTGAATTATCAATTATCAAGCTAATAAAGTTAAGTACAGTATAGTAAGTTTTAAGTCAGTGCTATTTTAAATGTGCAGATCTATAAGACAACTATAAGTAATTAGTTTACCTTCATATTCTTATAAAAAGCAGAGGGATTGCTAAATCTTTGGTGATGCACGAACTATCTTTTTCACCTGTTTTCAAAAGTAATTAATGCTGCTACCGGATTCCTTCTAGAGTTATCTCTAGTTATTCACCAATTTTCAGCCAATCAGAATATTTTGAATATTTAGTAAGAACATTTATTTCATTAAAAATAGTGCGAAACTTAACTTTAAAAACAAAGTTCGGTTCGTTTGTTTGCCACATAAAGATTTTGATTTTTTTTGTAATTCGATAAATTTTCAATAGTATTATTTTATTTGCATTATTAAATATAGAGTTTCATTTATCTTGAGATAAGCCCAGGCAGTCAAGAGTGTACATTTTTTCTCTTTTATTGAATTTTTTAGCATCTCTCTTTACTGATCGATTTACGATTACATGTATTTTCTATATATTGTGTATGTTAAATTTTTTTATCGATTTATTGTTTATTTTTATATGTTGAAGCTAACAGTTTACCGTTAAATTTTTTTGTTTTGATTCAACCATTTGTTAAATTGACGTTCAATATACTGTTTTTGTTTAACTAACGCATTTTATTTGTCTACTACCAACATGTTCCTTGATTAAATATTTCATTTAAGCATTTGCTTTGCTATATTTTGACCAGAAGGAAAGATCAGGCTATATCAGTGTTATAGGTAAGTGAGTGGACTACTTCCACCGCATATATTTTATTTTGCATTTATTTATACAGTGTATTGACAAGACAACGTTTAACCAATTAAAAAGATATGAAACTAAACTTCCATATCTTTTACATACCTATTTGGCCTTGAGAATATAATTTGTTGTTCTTTATATTTCTTCGACAGCTTAGCTTTCCTCTTTTATTCACAAAAAGTTAAGTGGCGCCCTTTTTCTAGCTTTATCTACTTTTCTATGGTAACCTTCCATACATTTCTCTCTATCTATCCATCTGTATCTATTTCTCTACCGATCTATATATAATATATATATATATATATATATATATATATATATATATATATATATAATATATATATCCTATCTATCTTATCTTTGAAAATTTCTTCTGTTATACAACATACCGATTCCAAAAGCTAGTTTTGAACCCACGACTCGCTCTAAAACAACCTACTGGCTGCAGTTTGTAGTATATCCATTGGTAACCTTTTTAGCAACATCCAAAAAAGGTTACGCTTGATATCATCATCATCATCAATTAGCCTATGTTTGTCCACTGCTGAACGTAGGCCTCCCGTAAAATTGTACACCTATTTCTGTCTTGAGCTTCTTGCATCCAGTTTGTGGTGATGCGCTTGATATCATCCGTCCATCTAGTCGGTGGTCGTCCTCTGCTTCGATATGAATCTTGCGTTGGTCGCCATTCCAGAATCTTTTTGGTCCATCTATCATCCGTTAATCTAGCAACATGTCCGGCCCAAGCCCATTTAGCTCTGGCTATTTTTTCAACTGCATCTGTGACTCCTGTTCTTCTTCTTATTTCTAGGTTTGGTACTTTATCTCTGATGGTAATACCTAATATTGATCTTTCCATAGCGCGTTGAGTAACTCTTATTTTATCTATTGTCCTTTTGTCAGAGTCAGTGTTTCTGCACCATATGTAAGAACCGGTATGATAAGAACGCTTGATATAAAATCACTAAAAAGTGTCACAAAAAAATTTTGTAAAAGGTTTGTAAAATTATAAATAACATTATATTTCGTTGTACAAATTTATGTTTCTGCATTAATTTTGATAAGAATGTAAAAATAAAAATGTAAAAAAAAAATAAAATTATAAAAAAAAAATGGAAATTTTTTTTAACTTGAACACACTCTATATATTCCCCCAACAATATATGAATATTCGGTCCAATAATCATATTTTGGTCCAAATAACTTAATTCACCTTGTATAAGTTCGGATATTATAAATAAAGTGAAGCGTCTATATTACCAATGACTGGCCTAATTTAAATATCTCTTACCACTAAAATATCGACGTTAAAACACATTTATCCATTTACCTTAGTCATCAGAAACAAGGCGGCAGGCGCACCGTTGTGTCGAGGTGTCCCCACACAGACGCACTACGTCGTCCAACATGGCCGCCAACGACGTCGAAAGACGACGTCCTGAATAATAAAAATTGGAAACAGCTGTTTGTGTTGTATCGTGAGTATGGCGACCGATGGATGGAGTTTTACAGTGTTCGTGTTGTGCCAGGAAATAAGTGATTAGTTTTTTTTTTATTTTGGAAAAGACATGAGAAGGACACCGCAGAGTCAATCACAGGGACAATTGGAAAATAATGAAGAAGAATGTCCCAACACATCGTCACCGGTAAACTATATGATTTTTTATATATATTATCGTTTTAATTTACTTTTACACTTAATGTAGAGCAAAAAATACAAATATAAATAAATAAGTTTGCACAGATAAAACCAACAAAATCCTTTGTAATTAGTTCCTGTTATTAAATTTTTTTCAATGGTCTCCTTCAAATTTGCATTTCGGCTATCATTCTTCTATACGAAGTTTTATATATTTGTAAATGTTCTACCTTTTTGGAAAGTTTTCCAAAAGGAATTACAATTCTCAATTTAGGTATATCCTCTGTCTGTATCACTATTAGTGATTATGGCAACTAATTTGTTACACAGTACTTAGCGATAACTATTCTTTATGCTTCATTATTATAATAAATAAAAAACACTGCTCGAATGCAAAACAATGTAAATTACTATTATGTTAAATTTGTATAAGGAGTGCATAATGTTGTTTCAATACTAACATTGAAAATATTACTATTAAGATATGCACTTATGAATAACACACAGACATCCACTTATGAATTTATCATTTTGAGTTTGAGAAAAAAAACGAAATATAACCGTTGATTGAATAACCCAAATGGGGTTATTCAATCAACGGTATAACGTGCTGGTATTAAAAAAAGAATATGCAATGCAAGGGAAACCTAGCAAAGACACATCTATAACAAGTTCAGAAGAAAACAAAAATAAGGCAAGATATTAAAACTGGTTAATTAAAAACTTAATTTATAAAACTTAAAAAAAAATTATTAATAAAATGTGTACTGGGAAAGAATAGGAAGAAAGTAATAGTGTAAAGACGAAAAATATATTCGAGAAATGAATAAAAGAACAATACCAGTAAGGACGAAAAAATAAAGGGGAAATACTCGAATATAAAAATAATTTTTAATCCTCGTAGATGAAGGTAGCTTTTGTAGAATTTGTATGTGTAACTAATAATTATGAAATTAGTGACGTAATGTAAATAAACTTTAGTGTTTGGTAAACTGGTTTGTATTAAAAAGTGAAAGGTCAAAGTATAAATTCTTAACAATACAGTACTTAGAAGTAAATAAATACCAGGTTCACACGTTTTTCTATCAAAGTATTTTAATTTAATTGTTGAATCTTTACTACCCGCCGTAGTCTATAGTTTATTTTTATGAACGAGAGAGTAATTAGCATAATTTTAACTGGTACCTTCGACCACTCCATGGGCGTGCTCAAGATTAATTGAAAAATTACTTTGAATAATTGTAAAAAATAAATGAATTATTTCAGTGTTATAAAGTGTTATGTGTATGTAAACAAAAGTGACCTCTTTTATCACACACTATATTAGAACTGACTGGCCTACATTAAAAAGAGTTTTAAAAAATTCACATTTTTTTTTTAATTTTTTAAAAATTACAAAAGAGAAAAAGAGTTTTTAAAAACCGTCTAAGGTATGTTAAATAGATGAATAAAAACATTAATATAAAACTTACAGCTACTTGTTACAAATCCAAATCAGATTCAGAAGATGAACTTCAGAACCAAGATTTATAATAACTGGCTCGATCATTTTATCAGTAATATTGTCCAGCTTCCACATTTTTCCTCTTCTTTAATAGTGTGATTTACTGCCTTTTCCAGTTTTCAGGTTTTACATTATTTACGGCCTCCAAAAACAACTGTTTAACATCATGAATTTTAAAAGTGGTATTTTTTCTTGAAACTTCACTATATATACTTATACCAGTTCAATCGGGTTTAATTCACAATGATATGGTGGGGATCTAAGTACTGTCATTCCACGATTTTTGTCAATTTCATCAATTTCGTATTTTTTAAAATTTTTCTTTATAAAGGGCACACAACGAATAAAGTTCCGTTCTTATATATCCGGGATGGTACGTAATATTTTTTGAACTCAGCCAATTCTGCAAGTCTTTTTTTAACCACTTGGTTGTGGGCAGTCCTTCTATAAGTCTGGAGTGATAACTTGCATTATCCATTACTATTACACAGTTCTTAGGAAGAAGATCTATCATTTGTTCGAACCATTCTTGAAAGACATCAGCGTTCATGTCTTCATGGTAGTCACCGGTACGAGTTGATTCAAAAGTTAATAAATCACCTTCAACAAAACCGTCTGAACTGCCAATGTGTATTATTATCAGGCTGCGTCCCTTTCCTGATGGTGGGTTTAAACCAGTAGATAAGTTATTTACAAAAGCGTGCCTAACAGTTTCATCCTGCCAAAATTTATTTGGTGTATGACCCTCGTTGATCCATGTTTCATCAAGATAAAATATTTTTCTTTTTTGGTTTCTCATTTCCTTTATGGTTCTTAGAAAATGTCTTCTCCATATGACAATATCGCTTCTTTCTAATAAAACAGACTTTCTGGGATTCTTTTTCCATCGGAAGCCTATTTCTTTTAAAAGTTTCCATAACGTTCTTCGACTCATTTCTGGGCAATCCTTATCATCTCGAACTGAGACAAGAACTTTATCCAATGTTGGAAATTCTTGTCTAAAGAAGAATTCATGCACTTTCCGTCGAAGTCCTTCTTTAAAATGATATTCTATTTGAAATTTTGGTTTCCCTGGAGCATTACGTGGCATTTGAAAACTACCACATTTCTCTTCTTTAATAACTCTGTAAATCGTAGATTTCCCAACACCAAGTGTACTGCTAACTAACTCAACGTCTCATCAAAACTTTCACATAAACGTTTGTCTGTAAATGATTTAAAACAATTAAATATTAATGCTTTTTCATTAACTGTTAAAGGACCAATTTTTCGGCGTTTACACGGCCCTTCCAAATTTTCCATAACACTAGTATACACAATAAACTGCACCTTGCAACTGAAGTACCTACTTTTAGTGAACTGTTAAGAATTTTGAATACGCTACTTGGACCTTCCTACAAAATGGAAAAACCCACTATCACATTTTCTGTGGAATAAATTTAGAAGGTAATTATCTAGTCAATTACTGTCGTAGATTCCTGGAATTAAAGAATTAAATGTTTGATTGTTGAAACCCTTACTTCGTGGAATGCACTCATTTCAGATAAAATAAAACGTTTTATTTTATCTAAAGAATTAAACTTTATTTGCAAATAGGTAGGTAGTTATTAAACTTTTATTGGTTATATATAACCAATAAAATAAACATCTTACATTTCTTGCAAATTCATTAGTACCTGTTAACCTCCATCACTCCGACACTGGCAACCTTATTTAGGGATTAGTAACCCTCACAACTATTGTATTCTATTCTGCTCCAACCTTTATACCTGGTGGTCATACTCAATTTAAAATTGTTTTCCTATATACTTCTGTAAACTTGTTGACAATATCTGTTTTTCATTGAGTCACCCGTATCAACAGTTTAGGGATTTGCATACATAATTTATTGTTTTATTACTCTCTCATACATAAAAATACACTATAGTAACTTATCTTGATATTATTTATTATGGGGTTGTTTAATGAAACAAGATAAGAAACTAAGATAGACAAGTTAAAATGCGTTAAACCAAATCTTATGGTTTAGGTACGTCGATGACACTTTTGTGATTTGGGGTCACGGAGTAGAAAAACTTAACGATTTGCAGTCTTATATAAACACACTACATCCAAATATTCAATTTGCGATGGAAACAGAGAAAGATCAGCAAATAGCGTTCCTAGATGTATTGGTAAATCGAAAGGAAGGTTATTTAGGATATAAAGTATATCGAAAACCTACACACACCGACAGATACCTACACAGGAACTCACATTATCATCCAGGCCAACAACAAGGTATCATAAAAACTCTGGCGGAGAGGGTGAAAAGAAGTTGTGAACCACAGCATCTGCAAATTGAACTTATTCATATTGAAAAAGCGTTCACTTCTAATGGTTATACCAGAAGAGAAATACATAAACCGATTAACAACGTTTCTAGAAGAAAGGACGAAGAAACAGCATGTATAGGTAAAGCGTTCTTGCTCTACATATTGGGGGTACCAGACAGAATTGGGCGAATACTTAAAAAAGCCAATGTAAAAACTATTTTCAAGCCCACAAAGAAAATCAAGGACTGTTTAAGATCGGTGAAGGACAAACGCGACCGATTAGCAACGGCCGGAGTATATCGAATACCATGCACATGTGGAATGGTATATGTGGGAACCACGAAAAGACACATAAACACAAGGATAAACGAACATAAAAGCCATTGTCGTTTAGGACATATCAACAAATCTGTCGTTGCCGAACACGCTTTAGAAAGCGGAGAAGATAGAATAGTATTTGAAGAAACGCAGATGCTGGATAAAACATCCCAGTGCTACCCACGGTTATATCCGGAATCTGTGGAAATATATAAGCATCCAAATAATTTTAATCGGATAGAAGAAGAACTAAAAATTCACAAAACATATATTAAAATCCACAAACAACCTTCCCGCAAAACATGAAAACAGAAAACGACACGTCCCCTCACGCCGAAACCAGTACAGGGAAGGCGAGTAGAAAATATAAATATGACCTCCGTAGTACAACGCGGCGTCAGTTTCAGCTTACAAGCGAAGCAGTAACATCTCCAGAAGATGCCAACCCCTAGTGTTGGCGAAACGTCGAGAACTAATCTCAAAAGATAAGGGCCTAACAGTCCGAACAAACAGTTCAACAAGTAAGATGGACAAGATTTGAAAAAGATCCATTCTTCTTCTTCTTCAAGTGTTGTAGGCTTTCAACTTGTAGACGTTCATCCAAAATTTCTTTGTAATTGCACCTCTCTGGCCAGCGTAAAACTTCTCCTGTATTCCAAATCCTGCACCAAAATCTCCCAGCCACATATTTTGCCTTCATTTCCGGCCTCTTCTTCTTTCTACTTTACCCATTAAAATCAATCTCAAGATCTCATACTTCTAACCTATCATTATATGTCGTAAATACGAAACGTTTCGTTGTTTACTAATTTGTAACAATTCACATATGTCAATCTATGAGATACGCATTAGTTTACGAAGTGTAATCAT